GTGTTTATCCCCTGCTCATCAAATTATCTCCAAACAACCAGTGGACATTCGCCACTAAGATACGCACTGTAACGGTTTTGATTCCCCGTAGTCGATTGCACTAAAAACCTGGCGGGCGGGGGCGTTTTTAGTGTCATGATGGGGGATGGGTCCAGGTTTCTTCTCAAGCTTGGAAAGCTTTCTGAACCCTTCCCCTCATTCATTCTCCAAGAAACCCTCAATTTTCCGTACTAACTCTGAAACACATCTACTGAGAAATGTCAGCGGTCAAACCTCCCCGAGAGTTCAAGTTCGTCGGCGCATTCAGTCGCAAGAGAAGACGTCGCGATGGGACAGCGCCTGGATCAATCGACTTCGTCGGACCGACAACACGATCAAAGCAAGCAGCGACGTCAGCGCCGAAACCGCAGAGTGAAGCTGTTGTTGCTGAGCCTGCGACACCGCCAAAGTCAGCAGATGGTAATAGCGAAGGTCAGGATAAGAGTGCAGAGAACACAACTCCCCCTGCGGTAGAAGCGACAGAGACAGAGGCGCAAGCTCCTCTTGCGGCGACGCCAGTGATTCCGCACGAGAATGCCAATCCGTTTGATCACGACATGATGATGGGAGAGGGGATGAACAGCGGGAGTGACATAGACTGGACATATTCAAGTCTTATGAACCCCTTTATCGATACAGGTCCCTCGTTCATGGCGCCTTTTGACCAAGTCAATGGCCAGCTGCCGATTTATTTTGGCCCCGACATGCCTCTCATTCAGCTGGGCGACTCATCATCTACTGACAACTCGCCTGAGAACCATTTCATCGGGCCTCAATTACCAAACGAGACTGATGGTACAGCGAGCGAATTCGCTGCAAATGCGCAATCACAAGTAATTGAAGAGCCTGTTTTGCCGTTGCTCAACTCTCACGCCGCGCCGAGCAACATCAGCGACACCATTGCGCAGCTACTGACTCGATGTATGTATCAGCACTACAGCCTCTTGTGATATCGTAATCTGACCGCATTAGATGACCAAGAGTTCTGTGTCATGCCTCTGACCCACGACTTTGCCGCCAACCCATTCCGATTCGACGCCGAAACAGGTCGCGGCTCCCAACTTCTCCTCCATTGCATCCTCGCTCTCTCTTACAAACACATCAATCGCGATACAGGCTCTTGTGCCGGAGAGGCCAAGATGCATAAGAAGAAAGCTCTTCAGATGCTCAAAGACATGGAGGGCGTGTCGCAGGCGTCACCGATTGAAGCGACATTCTTGGACGCAGTGTTGATACTCATGACACTTGATGTGAGTCATTCTGAAAAGACCTTCAGTCAGAACTGATATCTACAGTGCGCGACATCTGCTCATGGACCGTGGACGTGGTATCTCAAGCGAGCGCATAAAATGATCCAGGCTGCCGAGTTCTGTAACATGAAGAAGACACCACGAATGCAAGCACGCATAGAGATGCTAGTCTGGTAAACATCACTAAACACGAACTACGTATACCGAATACTAACTGTCGCAGGTGGGACGTCACTCTAGCTCTCACAAGCCGTCAAGGATGTGTCCTCTCCGAATCCACGATAATCAGCCTCTTCAACCACGACAAAACAAGCGACGAGACCTTCTACAGTGTATCAGGCTGTCCCGAAGCCTTATTCCGCCACATGATTCGCCTCGGATCTTACGCACGAGAATTCGAGCTGATAAGCAACATGACCTGCGCAAAGTTCGACATGGAACACGTTCTTGGCGTAGAGAAGGAGATACGCGAGTGGACGGATCCTGAATACGGAGACCTCCCAGATCAACTCGTCTCAGACACTACAGGCTGCGATATAGGCGACGTAGCACACTACAAAGAAGATCTACACCACTGCGCCGAAGCTTGGAGATACGGTTTGTTGATCTACATCGGCCGTGTGTTCAAATGGCAGCGCGATCAACCCGCCCCCTCAATACTAGGCTTCCTCGCGCGCAAGACGCTCAACCACGTTACGTCTTGTAGGTATAGTTCCATGCTGCAGAAACAACTGCTTCTTCCTGTTTTCTTAGCTGGGTGCGAGACGTCGGATGAGCACTTGCGACAGGCGGCGAGGACGTATTGTAGCTGGTGGAATGAACGGACGAGGTATGATATGTTTTTGACGGCGAATACGCTACTGGAGGAGGTTTGGGCTGACGAGGCGGTGGATTCGTGGTGGGGATCGGTTATTGATCAGAAGAGTCGGTCGAATGTTAACTCTGGGGAGGGGAGGCAGTATTTATTTGGATGAGCCTTTGGTTTGCGCGCGTTCTGGCGTTTGTGGTCTTTTTTTATGGTGTCAATTTGTGTCTCTGTTGGCGTTGGGATGTATGGCTAGCTGTGTCAATACTTGGATATCAGACTGGGAAAACAGGCATTCGCAATCTGAACCATGGGAGAGATTTATGATATATATATATAGTACTCGCTACTTTTACTACAATCGGCATTTTCTATCTTCCGAATGGAGTCATATCTACTAAGATCATTGGGTCAGGCTGTCCAGAGATTGTCTTGTCATGCACGTAATTCTTGCTTGAAAGAAATACAGTAAAACTCAGAGTCTATTAATAAGTCCGAAATAAAGAATTGACATGATGTCCACTATCACCGTGTTGGTCGTGTCGCAACATGTGGATGATCGGTCAATTGGGCATTTGTGTTTCTCTGTCAAATGAGTAGAGACAAGAGATAGTGCAGGGAATCCTAATCGATCCAGCTAATCTTGTCAACAATCATATCTCTAGATTTCTTATCAGATGACCAATTTCCAGATAAGTGCTTTTACTTTCCTTGGCGGTTAAGTCCTAGATCAGTGGTCTTCGCGTATCGTTATCCTTTCAGGCAACTGGACCTCACTGCCACAACTGCATCAGCAATCAGTAGTAACTCCGCCCAGCACACTCCGCAACGCGATCAAGTAATTACTCAGTACATATCAACCAATTTGGGGGGTTGCACGACAGTAGGCCATTGGGCTGGTGGCAATCCGGTTGGTTGCGGGGTTGCAGTATTACCCAAAGAGGAATTACGCGATTGAGTAACTACTGTGTCGAGACTTGGCAAGTATCATTCTCCATGGAGACTCGGGGCATCATAAACGACAGTCTTTGAGGGGATTCAACGGCATCTGTGAACATCTACAAAAGCAAAGGTTGAATCGTATCAGATTAATCGATCTCACCAACCAAACACATCATCTCAATCATCAATCTCACCATCTACCAAAACAAACACTACCATCACATCACACCAGACAACACAGCAAAATGGCAACCATGGACGAGGTATTCGCCGGCTATGCCAAGCGACAAGCCACCCTTAAAGCCAGCACCAACATCCTCTCCCAAGGCATCGCCTGGGTCGAAGGCGAGCTCGTTCCCCTGCAATCAGCCCGCATCCCCCTCCTCGACCAGGGTTTCATGCACAGCGACCTGACCTACGACGTCCCCTCCGTCTGGGACGGCCGCTTCTTCCGCCTCGACGACCACCTTGATCGTCTCGAGGCCAGCTGCAAGAAGATGAGGCTTCGCTTCCCCATCCCCCGCGAGGAGATCAAGAAGATCCTCGTTGAGATGGTGGCCAAGAGTGAGATCAAGGATGCGTTTGTTGAATTGATCGTTACGCGTGGGCTCAAGGGCGTGAGGGGTGCGAAGCCGGAGGAGCTGCTGAATAATAACCTGTACATGTTTGTTCAGCCATATGTCTGGGTTATGGATCCTGAGGATCAGTATCATGGCGGTCGTGCCATTGTTGCACGAACCGTACGACGTGTTCCACCTGGCTCTATCGATCCCACCATTAAGAATCTTCAGTGGGGTGATCTTGTCCGCGGCTTATTCGAGGCCAACGACCGTGGCGCCACTTATCCCTTCTTAACCGACGGCGATGCCAACCTCACCGAAGGTTCAGGCTTTAACGTCGTCATCATCAAGAATGGCGTGCTCTACACACCTGATCGTGGAGTCTTGCAGGGAATCACAAGGAAGAGTGTCATTGACGCTGCGCGATCTTGTGGATACGAGATTCGCATTGAGCATGTTCCGGTTGAGGCGGCGTATCAGGCTGACGAGATTTTGATGTGCACAACTGCTGGTGGTATTATGCCCATCACTACTCTGGACGATAAGCCTGTGAATGATGGCAAGGTTGGACCTATTACAAAGGCTATCTGGGATCGTTACTGGGCTATGCACTGGGAGGATGAGTTCAGCTTCAAGATTGATTACTAGGGCATTGTTACACATACTTGTAAATATTGGCATTAAATAAAACGCATCTTACTCTTTATCAAACCCAACTCGGCTCCATAAGATTGCTGAGCAGTACTTTTAAGAGAAGGACTTTGTACTGGACAAGTTCGAGTAAGGTGCGCGATGCAAGCATCAGCTGTCAGGTCTATCAACTCAAAATAATACGCTCATAAACACATTGAATGTCCTGTTTGCAAGCTCTCCTCACGTTACCGTAGATAGATCGTTTTTAATGGACTTGAAAGTGACCAACCTGAGTCTCTCGATATGAGCCAACCTTGGACAAACTTGTAAGGGGCCAAGCAAGCCAATCCTGTCTCAATATTGCCGGGCAGTATCCGCAATTACCCCATACTCAAGCCTACCGAAAGCAGCACTAGGGAGCTCAGCGGATAAGGTTACCGGCCTAACTCAAGGTACCAGACTATTCAAGGCCCAAATTGGCGAATTCTTAGTTTGGTGTTAGCGCTTCACTTGGTTACTCTCGGTGATAGTGATGGGGCGATGTGGCTCACTGCCGACTTGGGTGTCGTATTTCCTATTCGGGTAATAACCTCTACAAGAGTCTCGGCTTTGCAGACGGCCTACGCTTTTTGGAATATGGTTTAGTATCACAAAAGTCTTTTGTATAGCTTCAAAATGATATACTCGTCCCTCTGTAGTAGATATGTAACACGTTGTGATTTCTTCGATCAGTCCGGAATCCGTCAAGTTATCTAATTCACAAGGTTCAACATGAGTGCACACGATAGCATCGTCATCTTGGGGTAAGTAGTTGACCTGGTCCCCTTCAGGCTTCTTTGTGTTTCAGTACTGACATTCATACAAGAGCTGGCATTATTGGCCTCGATGTAGCTCTTGTTCTGGCAGAGAGAGGCTATGGCAAGTCCATTACAGTGATTGCTGAGCATCTTCCCGGAGATACAGCTCTGACCTATACTTCTCCATGGTAGGTCCTGCCACTTGCCAGTGCCGAGCTTACTTGTACTCATCTCACCATAGGGCTGGTTGCAACTTCTCAGCTATCTCTGGTACAGATGCCAATGCCTTGAAATGGGACAAGGCAGGATATTTCCATCTCAGCAAGCTGGCATCTGAGCGACCAGAACAGTCTTATGTTAAGCGAACACCTTCCACTGAGTTATGGGACGACAATGTTCCTAGTGATAAGATCCAGGCTATGTCTGAGTATCTGGAAGACGTGAGTTCAAGCCCAGCAATAGAAGTCTTCAGCTAATACATTACAGTTCCAAGAACTACCTGTCAATGAACTACCTGAAGGTGTCAAATTTGCTGTATCGTTTACTACCCTCACTGTCAATGCGCCTAAGCATCTGCTATATCTCTATGAGAGACTGAAGAATGACTACGGTGTTCGCTTTGTTCGTCAGAAGCTTCCAGATCTCCAGACCGCGTTCTTCGGCCAGTCGACCCAGATCGTGTTCAACTGCACTGGCAACGCTGCGCGAAAGTTACCAGGGGTTGAGGATCCAAAGTGCTATCCCACCAGAGGGCAGGTCCTCTTGACTCACGCGCCTGAGGTTCATACAAATATCATGAGACATGGTAAAGATTACGAGACATACGTGATCCCTCGCCCCTTTTCTAAGGGACATGTTATTCTTGGGGGGTATATGCAAAAGGGCAACGGGTAAGCTATCCGTCTCTGTCCATATCGTGTGTTGTGTATTGTGGGCTAACATGTCTTCTCAGTGATGGTGCTACTTACTCGTACGAGACAGAGTCCATCTTGGAGCGTACCAAGGAACTCAGTGATGAAGTCAGGAATGGAAGTCTAGATGTTCTCGCAGCTTTCTCAGGCCTTCGTCCGTCACGCGAAGGCGGTGCTCGAGTGGAGAGAGAGGATTTGACTGTTGCAGGACAAAAGCGCACAGTGGTTCACAACTATGGTGCTGGTGGCACTGGGTTCCAGGCTGGTTATGGAATGGCCCTAGATGCTGTTCGTGCTGCTGAGCCTGTTTTGTCGAAGATCCAGTTCGAGCTCAAGTCGAAGCTATGATGCATCTTCCGCGAGCAGATAGCAAATGTCTGAGTGAGTTTTGATGGAGTCACTGAGGAAATATCACTAGATGCATGTGGAAGAGCCTGTATGTAATAAACAAGGAAAGATGTACTATTGTATTGACAGTATTGCTTCTAAGCTATGTTCTTTTCATGTGCGAAATATGATAATATCTAAATACAAAAACAGGTCATGTAGGTCGTAAAGTACTCATTCTAAGTAAAGTATGCAATTGTTGCTCTCATGGTTCCAGACACTTTGAGATGCATGTAGGTACAGAGGAAATCTTAAAAGTAAACAGGATAAGGAGGCTTCTCGTAACCAGCCTTAGAAGTGGTGGTGATCTCAGCTGCCTTGGGGGTCGAGATAGGAGTCTCGTAGAGCTTGGTGGTAGATCGGATGAAGGTGGTGACCGTCTGGTTGCCAGGAGCCAGGTGGGTAGGGATGGTAGGAGGATAACCCTTGGTGGGAGAGGGGTAGACATGAGAGTTGGAGGGGTTCCACTGCTGGATCTGGGTGGTGGCTGTGGCGTAGACGGTGGAAGTGACGGCGCCGATGGGGCAGTCGGTGACCGCGGGAGGGCAGGCGGTGACGGTGAAGTACTTGGTGGTGTAAAGAGTGGATGTCGTGTTGCCAGGTCGGTTAGGTCCAGGAGGGTAGTAAGTAGCACCAGGACCAGGAATAACCTGAGTCTTGGTAACGGGGCAGAGAGTGGTTGAGAGAGCGATGGTCTCGGTGGTGACGTGGGGAGTACCAGGGCAGTTGGCAACGTGGGGAGCGCAAGCAGTGACAGTTCGGATGTTGGTCGTGTAGACGGTAGAGGTAGACCAGCCAGTTGTGACGATGTGCTGAGTTGGGACGGGTCCAGCGGGGTAGGTCTGGTGGTTGCCACCGGCAGGCTTGCTGGGTTGCTCAGGGTTGGATGGCTGAGAGGGTTGGCCAGGAGTGCTGGGCTTGGTAGGAGAAGACTGTTCCTCGGTAACTGGGCAGACGGTGGTAGAGATGGCGATAGTCTCGGTGGTAACATGAGGAGTAGGTGTCTCGCAGTTAGGGTGCTCAGGGCCGCAGGTAGTCACAGTTCGAACACTGGTAGTGTAAACAGTCGAGGTAGACCAGGCGGTGGTCTTGGCTGGCTCAGTAGGCTTGGGTTCCGTGGGCTTGGGCTGAGTTGGCTTGGGCTCAGTCTGATGCTGCTCAGTAACAGGGCAAACAGTGGTAGAGATAGCAACAGTCTCAGTAGTGACATGAGGTGTAGGCTTCTCGCAGTTAGGGAACTCAGGTGCACACGAGGTAACAGTTCGGATGGTAGTCGTGTAGACAGTTGAAGTGGTCCACTCAGTAGTAGAGGCAGGCTGAGTAGATCCAGCTTCAGACTGGCCACCAGTCACAGGCTTGGTAGGATGCTCCTGGGTAGCGGGCTTGGTGGAGTGTCCCTCAGTAGCAGGCTTCGTCTCGGTGGCAGGCTTGGTCTCAGTGGCAGGCTTGGTGGGCTGTTCCTCAGTGACGGTCGCGGGCTTGGTGGGAGCAGGCTTCGTCTCGGTGGGGTGCTCTTCGGTGACGGGGCAGACGGTGGTGGAGATGGCGACGGTCTCGGTTGTGACGTGAGGAGTGTTGGGGCAGTCGGGAACATCGGGAGCACAAGAGGTCACGGTACGGATGTTGGTTGTGTAGACAGTCGAGGTGGTCCACTCGGTGGTGCTAGCAGGCTTGGACTCAGTGGGAACTGGGTAAGTGGGCTTAGTCTCAGTAGCGGGCTTCGTCTCAGTGACAGGCTTGGTCTCGGTAGGGTGCTCCTCGCCACCAGTGGTAGCAGGCTTAGTCTCAGTCTCGGTGGCAGGCTTGGTAGGTTGCTCCTCAGTTGCGGGCTTGGTAGATCCCTCATGGTGAGTCACTGGCTTAGTAGGCTGCTCCTCAGTCTCAGTGGTAGGGGCAGTAGACTGGCCCTCGGTCTCAGTAGCCTGGGTAGGAACGGGGTAAGTGGGTGACTCCTTGGTGACAGTGGCAGGCTTGGTAGATCCCGCTTCGGTCACAGGGCAGACGGTAGTAGAGATAGCAATTGTCTCAGTTGTGACATGCTTGCCGTTAGGGCAATCGGGGATCTCAGGAGGGCAAGACGTGATGGTGCGGATGTTGGTTGTGTAGACAGTTGAGGTAGTCCACTGGCTGGTCTGCTCAGTGTTGGGCTGAGTCTCGGTGGGAACAGTCTCGGTCTTGGCAGTGGCAGTCTCGGTGGTAACCTTGGGAGGAGGATAAGCACCGGTTGAAGTTCCAGCAGCAGGCTTGGTAGACTCAGCAGGAAGGGACTCAGTCTCAGTCTCAACACCGGTCTCGGTAGTCTCAGTGGCCTTGGGAGGGGGATAGACACCAGTGGATGTACCGACAGCAGGCTTGGTAGTCTCAGTCTCAGCAGGAGCAGTTTCGGTCTCTGCAGGAACAGTCTCTGTCTCAGCTCCCTCGGTAGTGCCAGTGGTAGCCTTGGGAGGAGGGTAAGCACCAGTAGAAGGAGAAGTCTCAGTCTCCTCGGGAACCGACTCAGTCTTAGTCTCGGTCTCACCAGGCTTAGAGACAGTAGCAGTCTCGGTACCTTGGTGCTCAGTCTCGGTAGAGACAGGGACAGGATAGGTGGGAGTGCCAGTCTCGCCATGCTCAGTCACAGGCTTGGTCTCAGTGACGGGGCAGACAGTAGTAGACACAGCGATGGTCTTGGTAGTGACATGCTGGCCACCAGGGCAGTTGGGAACCTCAGGAGGGCAAGAAGTGACAGTGTATACATTGGTAGTGTAGACAGTCGAGGTAGTCCACTGTGTAGTAGAGGCACTACCAGTTTCGGTCTCAACACCAGTATCGGTAGTCTCAGTAGCCTTGGGAGGAGGATAGACACCAGTTGAGGTGCCGACGGCAGGCTTGGTGGTCTCGGAAACAGCCGTGGTACCCTCGTTACCGGGCTGGGTTGTGGGGGTACCCTCGGGTGGGGGATACGCGTCAGTGGAGCTGCCAACATCGGTAGATCCCTGTTGGGTCACATCGGTACTCTCGGGAGGAGTGTACTCGGAAGTGGGTGTAAGAGCCTCAGTGGTGTCTTTGCCGGGCTTGGTAGTCTCTGTGTTGGCGGGAGGAGGGTACAGGTCAGTTGAGGTTTTACCCTCAGCAGTAGTCTCGACAGCAGTAGACTCGTGCTCAGACTCGGATGGAGTGTTCTCGGGAGGAGGGTAAGCACCGGTGGGGGTGGACTCTTCAGTTGTGACAACGGCAGAAGACTTTTGCTCAGTCTCTGTCTTTTGAGTGTTCACAGGAGGAGGATAGGCTCCAGTTGGTGTTGAAACATCAGTGGTATCTTGTCCAGGCTGGGTGTTGGCGGGAGGAGGATAAGCGTTGGTAGGAGTCTCGGCAGCAGAAGTGTCTTCAACAGGCTTGCTGGCACTCTCGGTAGCTGCAGACTCGGGAGGTGCGTAGTCGGTAGTATCTTGGTGCTCGGAAGTAGCGACAGTGGGAACAGGAGGAGGAGCATACGGAGAAGTCTCTTGCTCAGCAGGCTCAGTGTTGGCAGACTGAGCGGGAGGAGGATAGAGATCAGTAGAGACGACCTGGGTTTCATAGACAGCCGAAGGAGGTAGATTGTAGTCTCCCCTTGGCTGACGACGAAAGTCTAAAACACCAGCGTTGGCCGCGCTAATGGCAACGGCGCTGAGTAGAAAGAAGCTTCTCATCTTTCCTTTGTTTCAACGAATGTTGTAAAGCGAATGAAAAGGTTTGTTTGTATGAAACGAAAGTGAATTGTTGCTGAGGAAAGGAATGTGTAACGAGCTGGTGTAGCCTCAATCTTTATACAAATCTCAAGATCGGCTGTCAGGTTACAATTTCAGCTGAAGATGGTTCTCCACGTAAGTCGTACGCGCAAATCAATCATGATCCAAACTTGGAAGCGTCTCCATGGCCATGCAGGCCCAAGCTGGGAATACGGGCGCTTGCATACAAAACATAGCAGGGTGAGGTCATTCCGGATCTACCCAAATGGGACTGACAGGGCGGTCAGTCGATGGGTGGTTGGATGAGACGGAGTCTTTTGGGCAGAAAGCGCCTGCGTTTGGTAGTGGATAGTGGATCAGAGACATGGTTGTTGAACATCCGAGATACCCAGGCGGCTCGCTTCCAAAAATACAGTACATACGCTGTGCCGATCATTTCATGATGTGGCCTGGTCTTCGCGGCGTAAGAAACGGAGTTAGTTCAGGTGGACATGGGGGGACGATTGACCTTGGATAGGCCGCTGAATAATGGAGCAATCTCTGGGTGTTTTCTCTTAGCCTGCAGAAACGATTCTAACAATAAACAAAATGTCTTAAAGAGAATCAAGGTTCACGCACACGAAACATGCACAAGGCCTCGTGTTTGCGACGCACGACTCCGCTCGAGGTGCTGTGATTCTGTGCTATTATTGGATCACTCTGGCCACTCAGCGGCTATAAACAGAAATCAAGGTCCTGCAGGCCTTGGTTGGCTGCATTGATCCCTGCAAGCCCTGATCGAATCATCCAGTCGTGTTGCCAAGAAGGTCTAGATTAGATCTGCACTAGGAAAATGGAAATTCACCACGTCAATTGACGATTCTGTGCATTAGCTTTACGAGATGGAACCGAGAATAGAATATTCTGAGTTTTTTTTTTGTTCTTGCAGAAGCGGGACGTGATCTTTTCTTAGATATATGCCCTGTTCGACGAAACCAACAACCTCGTGTTCGGCATCATTTATCCAGCGGGGAAAGAAAAGAGAGAATAGACCTGAAAAAAAAAAAAAAAAAAAAAAGAATCAATCTGAGTTGAAGCGCTTGGAAAACAATTGCAAGACATGATCGTCATTGATCCTGAAAGCAAATCTGAACCTGAAACAAATGGCTTAGGGTTGGCGCTTATCAAACCCGTTTGTTAGCGCGCGGTTCGTTGGGGTTTGGCCTGCTTTTGGCAGACGCCACTGGAATGCGGGCAGCGGATGAACCGTCGACGCCACGTCGCACCATCAGCTGAGCTACCCTGGACATAACGAGGAAATTGTAAAATGCAATGAAATAATGTTTTAAAGTCTCTTATATCTATAGACTTGTTATTGCAAATATTTCAGAGAAACAATGTATTATGTAGTGCATGTTGAGAGTTTTTTCAGCCAATGTTGAGGCGGAAAGTTCTAGCTGTTCACCTGGTGAAGTGCAAAACAGTAAGACACTTACTGTTTACGTATCGCGCCTGTTTAAACGCGATTGTCTTTACGCATCAGGTTACACAATAGGCCAACTGCATTTCACCTTGAGAATTTATTATGTATCACGATAACTGCTGATAAGTTGCTCTTACCTCCACCAATTGGGTCTCTCTCTCTTTAGGATTATAGCGTGAAAGAAGCTGTGGCCACCCTGGGTTTATTATCAAAAAGATTAAACCCGGCGACTAACTATCTGTTATGCTGGCTCAGCGATTCGCGCTGGCAGAAGAAAATCTTTGTATGCGTACTATGGGCAAAATCCATTCCTCGACCCGTCAGGATAGGCTTCTTCGTCTTTCATTCTGCCCTATAGGCTTCGAGCTCGGACAGCAGCAAGATTTACGCGTATGACTCTCGTCGCGCTCCATTCTTTGATTATTTGCCTACTATAGAACTATAGGGCACAAGCTCCAGAGTTAAATTATGTAAAATTACCAGCCCTTCCAAGGAACCCAGCAATCGATCACTACATCATCCTCATCGACAATATAATAAACATAGAAAGCTGCCGCTGTAATGCAGGCATGATTGCAGTACAGACTTACGCGCTGTCCAACTGCAAAAGCCTCATCAGCTGTGCTTTTAGGCTGCGTCGTACCTAGTATCCCGTGCTCCTGGGATAACCGAACCACGTTCCACTCAGGCCTCCCCACGACATATCCGAAGCCAGGAATTGCGCTGGTCTCTCTGGATAACGCAACGACGCCTGCGTTTATGAGAGCCTCGTTGCGATCTGGATACACGCTGCATATCTCGGCGATCACACGCACTGCCTGGTCGGATTCGGAAATGACAGCCGTTGAAACTTGTTGGAGATCGTTGGCGGGGAAATTCCCTGTACGGCTCGTGTTAGCGGAAGGGTTTGTTCGGCAGATGGATATCTCGGTCACATAGACATGCCTGCGTGTAATTCCAGCTCTATGTTTGCTGGAAGCGTGGCCTTCAAGCTCTTAACCACATGGGCTGTCGGTGTTGATCCCACCGACACCCAGAGCTTGCGCGTCGCGGGCAAGAGTTTCGATGCGCTCAAGACTCCCGAGACCTCATCTTGCAACGTCCTTTCTGCCTCGGCGGGAGAACGCCCGGCATAGGAATGGCCCGCATGGCAGTAAAAGCCAGCAATATTGACAGAGTGAGACTTTTCGGCCTTTGCGACCAGCCTGCATAATAAAGACGATTCTGGTTGTATGCCGGCTCTGTGCGAACCGACATCGATTTTGATGAAAATGTCCCACGGCTGTGTTGATTCGGTTGGGAAATTATCCAGGCAAGTGATTTGCTGCTCGTTATCGACCATGAGTTGTATGCGGATAGACTTGTGCAATTGCTGGAGTGCAGGCAAAGCACCGGGGTAGACAGGCATGCCATAGAGACACTGGTTAGAAACATGTTAGCATGATGGAGCCGCTTCGGAAGGATGTGCTAAATGTACCTCATCCAAAACACCCTCTTGGACCAAAGGGAGAACTCCACGGATCTCTGCCAGGGTCGAGGCGACAACAGAGCGATATCTTCCGTTTGCAAGCATCAACCGCGTGATTTCAAGTGTCTAGGGAACGTTAAAATGTCAGACTTGGTCTCTTGTGGTGAAAGCCAATCCTTACCTTAAGTGTTTTGACGTGCGGTCGGAAGCCGATACCAAGATCGGAAACGTCTTGATGCAATCTGGCAATGTTCCTCTGCACGATGGGGAGGCTAACTACAAAGGACGGCGTGGGTAGCTGGGAGACAGACTTGCCAAGATAGGCGCGGTGGTGCTCCAGGGAGTGGTCCATTGTCATTGGTGTCTGCTTGGATGAGAGGCAGTGAGGCATGGCAGTGCAGAAGCCGCGTGCTTATCAGTGTTTACCTTGTTGCACTAATTAGGCTCCCACTGTAAAAAGGAGATAGCAGTGGTCCATGCAGTTCCGCGCTCTTTGTGAAACCTCCTCATATGAATTCATTTACCCACTTCATCTGTGCCCAGTCACGGCCGCAGGGACGATAAGCCTCGGGCACGTCCTACACTTGCACTTCCCTCGCAGCTGGTGGGTCCGCGGAACTGTACCACATTGGCTATCTTATTGCATTCTTATTTACCAAGGTTTGGACTTGTCCCATTCCAGCATTGGCCCAGATCCCCCATCTGCGACCAATCAAGTGCCTTTCCGCGACCCCCAGATTTGCTTCAGTCCCAGCCAGCGACCCATTTCCCCGTACTATCTTATCTTTCAGATAACGAGTAGTAGCTATGTGCCGTCGTTAGTCTCGATAACGCGCGACAAGGCCCTTTCAGTGGTATGCATGATCAGCATGGGAGAACCGGAGGACCCGAGCTGGAGAACCAGCGGTGGCTTGATGGCATGGCAAGCGTAGCTACTATATATCCATGTATAATAACATCAGAAACTCTTCCCCCAAATATCTCCCAAACTTTGGTTAAGCGTACTTGCGTAAAAGCAGTGTTGCCAGATTCACCTCGAACAATAGCCATCATGGCACTGGAAACTAAGGACATCACCTCAAAAGACAATATCCCCGAGGAAGACACGTCTCTCGGCCACAGCAAGTCCATCACAGGTATGCGCCACTTCGCAACAAGACGATGCCCCCTGATCACCGAGCTATACTGACTCCTTCCAACAACAGTAGGGCACACGCAAGAGCTACGAAAGAACTTCTCCGTCTTCTCCGTCCTCGGCATAAGCTTCTCCCTCGCCAACTCATGGTTCGGAATCTCGACAGCCCTCGTCACGGGCATAAACTCCGGCGGCCCCGTGCAGCTCGTCTACGGCATCATCCTGATAACCGTCGTTTGCACCGCCATCGCCGTGTCGCTCTCCGAGCTGGCTTCGGCCATGCCTGACGCAGGCGGCCAGTACTTTTGGACGAGTCAGCTCGCGAGTAGGCGGTGTAGCAGGTTCTTGTCTTACTTGACGGGATGGATTGCGTGGGCTGGCGCTCTCTTTACGTGCGCGAGCATTGCGCTCGGTGTTGGAGGCTTGGTGATGGGCTGCATCCAGATGGCTCACCCAACCTTGTAAGTACACCCCCGTGCTTTAGTTGGACCAATTCTGACGCTATTCTTTGAAAGATTCATCAAGCCCTGGATGAACTTTGTCAGTTACCAGATTGTGAACTTTTTTTGTGCCCTGTTCAACATCTCCAGCACTGCCCTCCCTGGAGTAACATTCTTTACGTTATGGACTTCAATCATTTCCTTCCTTGTCATCATACTCACCGTGCCATGCAAAGCCGACACGCATCAATCTGCAAAGTTTGTCTTCTCCGAGTTCGTCAACAACACAGGATGGCCCAGCGATGGAATTGCCTATATAGTCGGCCTCATCAACTGCAACTGGGCCTTTAACGGGCTTGACTGCGCCACCCACATGGCTGAGGAAGTTCTAAACCCAGAGCGTACCATCCCGATCGCGATTCTTGGTACTGTGGGTGTTGGCTTTGTGACAGCCTGGCTGTTTGGCATCGCCATGTTGTTCAGCATCAAAGACTTTGATGCCGTGAGTAGCACGCCCACCGGAGTCCCTATTCTTGAACTCTTTGACCAGGCGCTAGCCAACAAGTCCGGGGCCATTGCCCTATGCTCCTTGATCATACTCACTGGCTGTGGCTGCTTGATCGCCTCTCATACCTGGCAAGCTCGCCTCTGCTGGTCTTTTGCCCGAGACAACGGTCTTCCCTGTTCCAGATTCTTGAGTCAGATACAGCCGACCCTGCGTGTTCCAATTGTGGCCCATGTGACCAGCTGCATTATCGTCGCCATCCTTGGTTGCTTGTATCTTGCTTCTTATACTGCTTTCAATAGCATGGTCACGGCTTGTGTTGTTCTTCTATACGCTTCTTACAGTATCCCAGTCGTTTGCCTTCTTCTAATGGGTCGGTCCAAGCTCAAACGTGGGCCATTCTGGATGGGCAAGGCTGGGATGGCCTGCAATATCGTCCTCCTCATATGGTTGGTGTTCTGCACAGTGGTAAGGCACTCTGCCGATAGATCCACCTAATTCTCCTATACTAATAACATAACTAGATGTACTCTTTTCCACCGCAGTATCCGGTCGAGGGTGACAATATGAACTACGTCTGCGTTGTTTACGCCGTCACATTCGCTGTTCTGATCTCCTGGTGGTATGCTAGCGCTCGTGTTAGTTACCATCCCATTGCTAGCGCGCAGTAGGCAATGGTCAATCTGGCGGGGAATCTTGCTTTCTAGATACCGTTAAAAACAATTTGGGGTATTGCTATTATATGTGTTAAGATAGCTTCAAATGTATTGTGAAAGATATATTCGACGTCTCGAAAGGCCGAGCCAGTGACAAAGGCAATTAAACATGTTAGCCAAGTATATACCACAAGAAAAATTTACCTTCGTAGATCGTCCTAGCTTTGGCTGGTGGGCTCACAGAAGAGAGTTCAGGATGGGAGATGATGCAGTTACAGTTCCAAATTTTAATTATTATCACATCATCTGACTACACATTTCTGATGATGGAGGCGCACATGAATGCTACTTGACACGGCGAGAACAGGGCAAAAACACCATCTTTATCCAATTACACATCGACATATATGCCATAAGATGCATACACAAGGATCCTATAGGGCCGAGAGCTAATTGACTGAATCAATAAACCGTTCAATACGTCATTTGCTTTCAAGACTGTCTCTTCTCCTGTCGCCTCCATTATGCAAACTATGAGAGCCGCTGAAAACATGGTCATCTACACAGTCTCAATGTAGCGAGAAAATTCCCTACAAGCTGGTTAGACGACGCGGCAAATACATTCACTACAACCACTTACCAATCCGTGACAGCTTCTCTCCACTGCCTCAACTCATGGCGTCGCGAAACTGTGAAAAAGTCAACAAACTCGTCGCCCAAGATCTGTCGAGCCACCGAGTCCTTTGCACCGAAACGGCCGAGAGCCGCCTCAAGGGTGTTGGGAAGCCGCTCGGCAGGAGTTTCTTTAGGACGCGCCGACTCTGGTGGGATAGTGATCTGCATCTTGTTCTTGATGCCACGTAGCCCCGCGTAGAAGATGGCGCTGAGAGCATAGTGGGGGTGGATATCCGCACCGGGAACGCGGATCTCAAAGCGTGTTGCAGAGGGCTTGCAGCTAGGTGGCGCCACCAGGCGGATAGACGCGAGACGATCCTCAAAGCCCCAGCTCACAGATACAGGTGCCCAGTAGTTCTCAACCAAGCGCTTGTAAGAGTTGACATTCGGTGCGAGAAGGGGCATGATATCAGGCAGGGCACTGATGATGCCAGCCAGGAAATGGCGGCCTGTGTCGGAGAGGTAGGCCATGTCGGGCCATCGTGGGTCGGCATCGGGTGTCTCTCGAACAAAGACATTTTGGCCCTCCTTTGTTGTCAGAGACACGTGTATATGACCAGAGTTTCCAGGTAAGCCCTGAATAGGTTTCGCCATAAAGCACGGTGTGATATTGTGTTGGACGCCGACCGATTTGCAAACTAGCCTGCTCAGATATATCAGTCCAGTGGACTTTACAGCGTTGGTGGAGAAGACGGACTTGAATAGGGCGACGTTGTCAGCCATATGTGACACCTGCGAAACAGCTAGGGCCTGCAAATGGAAAGGTCAGCAATGCGTCTTCACTAACCCCCTTCTCTGTGCGTGCAGTGCAGTACATACCGCTTCGTAGACGCATGGCCCGCTCTCGGTGTGCCAGCCCTCGATGGGACAGTCGAGCTCTAGGCTCTGGTCGAAGATGTCGTGGAAGTATTGCTTCGCCATGATAGGCCTTGTCGCGCTGTAGCCAAACGCACCAGCTGTCACAGGACGAAGGGCTTTGGGAGCGTTATTGGCGAGGAATGCCGCGAGGTTTGGTCGGTCGGTCGAGCTGCTGTAGCCATCTTGTGACGGTGTCTGAAAGTTCATGAATTCTAACTCCACTACCGCCCAAGATTAAGAAGTCAGCATTTATCCATTCATATTGATCTGTACATGTAGGTGTAGACTCACCGCCAGCCAGTCCTTTGTAACCAGAGTCGGCCAAGTTATTTGACAAGGCCTTTACCAGACCGCGGCCATCGGCAAAGACTGGCTTCTCTTGGATGTAGAAGTGAAGGAGAAAGAAGGCAATGTTATCCTCAAACGGTAGCCGCCTGAAAGAATCCAGGTCGATCACAGCCGTGAAGTCTTGATAGCCGCTGTCAGCGCTTGTCAGGCTTGTCTCTTCAGTGTAGAGAACATCGTGCATGTCCCAGCCAAAAATGGCCGAGCTCATACCGAACCCAGACTCGAGACTGGACAGGAACTTGCTCTTGTGGATAATCTTGCCGCGGAGGATGCCATCGCAGTCGATACCGGCCACTTTGACCTTCTTGTCGCCTGCCAACAGCTTTGCAATCCTGTCTATGGGTGATTCTGCAATTTCACCATTGACTGCATTATTCGCTACAGCATCGTGTGTTTTGTCGCCGTAGTTGGCCATGATTGCAATGCGGCCGAGAGCGAGGATCATAGGAGAGCAGTGTAGCTTAGTAGAAAGTGCTTATCTACCAAGTCACCAAGGTATGTTGGACAAGATTCGATGGAAACGTCTCCTAACAGAATTATTATACAGTAATGCTCCGAGAATAATCTTGTATCGAGGCTTGAAGATGAGATACCTCAAGGCGCTCTCGGCAAATCACCGAGACATCCTCATTGCGAAAAGATGTAGGTCGTGTATCGTAAATGACCAATCAAAAACATTTCCGCCCATCATGATTGAGTGGGCGGCACTAAAAGACGCCCCTAGGTCATCGCCATAACCGGCTAATGTTCTGGGGGACTTTAGCGCCAGCATCCCTATCCCATGATACTGTAACTTCTCTGCGCTCTGAGAACCGGGGCAGGGATGGATCCTTCGCGAGTCCATCGCCGATCGTTCGTTCATATTCTCGGACGGGTTGTGAGCCCCTGCGCGTATCTAAAGTTTTATCCGCACGATCAACTGCAGATATCACTCAAATCGGGCATACCAGACTCGCACGCCCTCACCATGCCAACCTTGAGATTTGCCTGTGAAAAATTACCTATCTCTTGATCCCGTGCTCACTTTTACTGCAAGCGCATGTCAATATTAGCCAAGCTAGAGACCTGTACTAAATCCACACTGGCCGAAACCAGCTGGTGCTAGTTAAGCGGCGTTTCCGTTGTTCATGATGCAGAGACTGTACGTTAACAAGGAGGCACTCTTGACATGTTAAGCAAACTCCGGGGTACAAGGATTCTCACACAAACTCAAGCCAAGTATCCTCAAAGCTATGAAGCAATAGCAATGAACATGCTGATCAGTGTTGTGCTACTAAAGCCTACAGGTCTTTCAGCTCTCCTACTTATTCATCCCACGCTTCGAAGCAGATACCTGCGTGTTTTAAAGTGGCCTCGAGTGATTTTGGAGTATGTTATTAACGTCGAATTAATCCATCTAAGCCTGGGCCTCCTTTACATGGTAGCTCTTGAGCTTGACAAACGCATCGAAGCCGCGAGGCCCCAGTGTACAGCCCAACCCTGACTTCTTCCATCCAGTCCAGGCAAGATCCTAAGTGACTTGTGTTAGCAGGCGGGCCCAAGTGACTCTCATCTAGGGTTACTTACAGGGTTAGGGTAGTCGCATCTATTCACAAAGACAGTACCAGCTTCGAGCTGATCAATTAGCTCCTCCCCGCGGGCAATATCCTTGGTCCAGATACTGGCAGTCAAACCGTAGTCGCTATCGTTCATCAGGCGCAGGGCTTCCTCATCATCCTTGACTTTGGCAACGGGGATCACAGGACCGAACGTCTCCTCGCGCATGACATCCATCTCATGTGTAGCGTTGGTCAAAAGAGTAGGGGGGACATAGTTGCCCGTAGGGGATGCACTGAGGAAGCTCTCGTTCTTAGGCGTCGCATCCACAGCGCCCTTGGCCAGAGCATCTTGGATCTGTGCATTGATGTTGTTCTGAGCAGCGCGGGAAATGACTGGCCCAACCATGGTGTCTGCCTCTAGGGGATCACCGAGCTTGTACCTGACGGTTCATTAGGTAGGGGAACAGAAAGCTCTTTCTGGGTCATTCGCTTACCTCTTGAGCTCTTCTTGGACTTCACGGACAAAGGCATCGTGCACATCAGCATGGACATATATACGCTCAATAGCACAGCAGCTTTGGCCGGAATTGAAGACAGCGCCATCAACCAATTGAGTGGCGACGTACTTGAGGTCGGCATCGGGTCGAACGTAGGCCGGATCATTACCCCCAAGTTCCAGGTTGACAGGAATGGTGCGTCCACTGGTGGCTTCACGAATGGCCAGACCGCCGACTGTGGAACCGGTAAAGCTGACGAGGCCGAGCTCAGAGAGCTTGACAAGCTCCTTCAGCGCTTCCGGATCCCCAGATTGGACGACTAGAAGGACATCCTTGGGCAGGCCAGCCTTGTGGAAGATATCGATGAGGTGCTCTGCAATGAGAGGTGTCTGGGGGGAAGGTTTGAGGATAACTGAGTTCCCTGCTAGCAGGGCGGGAATGAGAGCGTTGACGATGATGAGATAAGGGAACTAGATGAGGAGAGTTGTTCAGATACAGTCTGTAAGAAACAAGATAAAGTACTTACGTTCCAAGCAAAAACAATAAGCGTTGGCCCGACAGGAATCTTCTTGATCTCCCTCCGGAATCCCTTCTCGGGGCGTCCCGGCAGACTCGCCAGTGCCTCTTCAGCAATATCGAGGAGATAGTCAGCGCGCTTCTGCATGGTCTCTATTTCCTTGTGGCTCGCGGCAACAGGCCGTCCCATATGCTCAGCGAGTTCATGGCCAAGTTCGAATTTCTGTTCCTGAATTCCAGCGAGTCCCTTCTTCACTATCGCGCGTCGCTGGTCCAAGTCGAGCTTGCGAAAGGACTGGAAGGCGATTAGAGATCGCCGAGCTATGTCCCGCGCCTCATCAAGGGAGGTCTCTGGGAGCTCACAGACGACTTTGTTTGTTGAGGGGGAGATGGTCTTGATGGAAGCCATTGTGTCTGACGAGGCGAAGCTGTACCGGTCGTGAAGAAGATCGTAGACTAATTAGACGGGAGGCGAGAATGTGAAGAGTTTCATATGTTTCGACGCCGTACATTGGATGTTAATATACATAAAAAAGGGTTTTTCTCGTGATGCGGCGTTTTGTTGACTCGGAGAGTTGAAGGTCATAGAGTTGCAGTAGATGGAGGGCTACTGTCCGCGTGTTGGTGGAGCATGATGGACTTGTAGCGGAAGCGGAAAAGGAGGTGATTGGAGATGCGGTGCACTTGGACGAAGAACTGCCATCATGACCTGTCACGCGGAAAGGTCTAGTTAGGTAGCCCATGATGCCGTTTGTGCTCCCGTGAAACGCTACGATAGTGTAGGTTATTAGGTACCTTGCGTGTTCGCCCAGTGAGTGGTGCGGGGAAGAGTACGACGAGACAACTGATAAGTGTTGGAGAGAGCCAGGGACCATTGTCCAATCAAATGTCGGACCGCGCTTGGAACAAGGGTTGAAATACCTAGCAGTAGCGCAGGACAACGAGTCCGCCTCGACTCGACGGCCAGCCCATCTTGTGTCTACGAGGATAACCGGCGCAAAGCCGTACCACAGTAATTCGTCCGCCATGAGCAATCGCGAACCCCACGTCTGCATGGTGCATTCCAAGTATGTATAAAAAACGCCATACCTGATACAATGCAGCCCCGATATTATCAGCATTCCATTGCCTCGTCAATTCCATCAACGATTCATCAATTCATCGCACCGAAACCCCTTTATACACCTCACAATGGTCGGGAGACTTGAAGGAAAGAACGCCATCATCACTGGCGCAGCCGGGTATGTTTCTGAGTCGTCTTTCTATCCCGGTATAGCTACTTATCTTCAGCAAGCGGTGTTGGCCTCGAGTCCACCATCCTCTTCCTCCAACAGGGCGCTTCTGTCCTCATGACGGATATCAACAACGCCGCCCTCGAACGAGCCCTCAGCAAAGTCAAAAGCGTTGTACCGAATCCCACCGGCAGAGTAGAGATAAAGGTCGTCGACGTGTCCAAAGAGGAGCAGGTCGAGGCAGCTGTCACACATCTGGATGCCTGGGGCGGCGTGGATGTCATGTTCAACAACGCAGGCATCATGCACCCCAGGGATGGCGACTCGGAGGAGTGTCCGGACAGCATCTGGGACTTGACGTTTGATGTAAATGTCAAGGGAGTCTGGTACGGTTCGAAGCATGCCGTGCGATCGCTGAGGAAGCATGGCAAGACCAAGGGCAGCATCATCAACACGGCCAGCATGGTTGCTATTGTTGGGGCCGCGACCCCTCAGGTTGCTTATACTGCCAGCAAAGGTGCTGTTCTTGCTTACACTCGTGAGATGGCTATCGTTCACGCACGCGAAGGCAAGTCAAAGATCATCTTAGCCCCAATCCATGCATACTGACAGTTGTCTTGCACAGGCTTCCGCTTCAACTCACTTTGCCCTGCACCACTCAAGTAAGTCTCGATGCCAACGGTTACATTTCGCATGGAAGCCTTTTCACTGACATTATCTTTCCCACCAGCACACCCATGCTACAAGAGTTCCTCGGCGACGACAAGGCCAAGCGATTCCGCCGCGAAGTCCACTTCCCCACTGGTCGATTCGGCGAGGCTATCGAGCAAGCGCAAGCCGCAGTTTTCCTCGCCAGCGACGAGAGCAGTTTCGTTAATGCACATGACTTTGTTGTTGATGGCGGTTTGACCAAGGCTTATGTCACACCAGAGGGTCCTGCCACCCAGGCCCCCAAGAACCAGGGATAATGCAGTCTCATAGCTCATCTCATAACATAATTGACGTGTTTGATCATATTTGGATGCCGTCAGGCAAATGAGATCCATATTTCGTGCTCGTACATGATCTGACAAATGATCCAAGGGCTCTGTTCCCTTTGAGGTCGCATCCATATGTGCTCTAGCAAAGATAATGTGGAAGATATGTTACCAAGCCCAATTGTGAGAAACATCGTCTGTAGACGTTGGCGAAGAAGTTCCCGACGCTCCTCATCGCGGGTGCAGGATCCGATCACGGCTAATGCCCAGCACATACTTGTGTTGATGCGCGCAGAAGCTGGAAGCTGTTCGAGGTATGAAAAGGCGCTTGCTAGTGTGTGTTCCAGGCTCAGCTGTTGTGTCAATTGTCTTTCATCGCCGATTCCAAGAGCCGTGAGCAAGTAGAGATGGACGGCCTGTTGGAAGATGTAGCCGCAGATGGTGACCTCGGAGCTTGCCGAGGGCGATGGGACGAATGAAGTGATCTCGAACTGGAGACTGCCGAAATTAAGGAAGTCATCTGCCGCTGGGAACGGCGGATCAACACTAGCCGCTACTCTTCGATGACCAAAGTCGAATATTCGTGGGATGAGAAGAAGCAATGAAAGCCATGAGCCGCAGAGTTGGCCCACGTAACCAGATTCAGCCAAAGATTGCGCCTTGTGCTCCAGATCAGGGGATAGCAAAAGCCCCGTACCCGCAGACGGGTCTGTAGAGATCATGCTGACAATTGCAGTGTAAATGTAGTACTCGGTGACAAAAGCGCACAGTCCATCGGGGAGAAGATGAGGAAGCTTTGTGAGCAGATTTGTGACGAGTGGCCCGACGGCTTGTATATGATCAAAGATGACCCCGTTAGTATCGCCCTTGGCGGTCTGATAAGGGAGTCAGCTCATTGCACCGTTTCTCAGATAGATGGAAACCTATCAAGCGTACCTCGGTAAAACACATGATCAACGCACCGATGGTGACCCAGAGTGGATTTGACTCAGTGCCAGTCAGGTAATCATTAACAGCCTTGCGAAACAGACGGATTGACTTGGTGTAGTAGGTGTGAGCTATCACTTCCGACTGGTCCCCTGCATCCAAGACGGCTCGATGCGAGGCACTTTGTGACAGCATGAGCTCACGGACGATAGGATTGGCGAATGAGAGCGGTATGAGCTGGACGATGAAGGGGTTTGTTGTGGTTGAGCCATTACCCATGCTCACGGCCGTGCGGTCCAGATAGTGGCCCATCAATTCGAATGCCTGCGCATCCAGGCCAGGGAGAATTGACGGGTTAACAGGGGATGGACTGGGCTCGATGAGAGCTCTTTGGCCGAGATGGGCCCCGGACAGACTGATGAGTGCATTACTGACGCTGTCTTGAATGGTGGGATCCTCGATCGTTTCATCTTCCTCGAATGATTGTATAGCCTGTATCTCTGTCTGAGTTTCGTCGGCGAGACCATAATCCACTTGATCCAAGTCATGGTCTGCGAAGGAAACGCCTGTCGCAGGAGCGATAGAGCAAAGCTGCAATGGTAGATCTGGGGCACTAATACTCTGTAGCCGTAACAAATCATATTCACCATATTCATGATCGGCGTCCAAGGCTGGAGGATCCTCCAATACCTCTTCTATACCCATGTCGACGTCAAAGCTCTGTGAAAATCGCCTCTCATGACTATCCAGGGTCGGACTTTTGGCCGAGGGCTCCAAGCTAGGTGAATCATTGGCATTTGGCGGTGACTGCAGCGGTAGTTGAGGACTGGGCCATCGGCATTGTATCTTGTTGCGACGACATCCAGAACAAACTGGCCGTGACTCGTCGCACTTTTTCTTGCGGTTCCGACAAGTGAAACAGCCTGTCTTGACCCTGAGGATCGGCTTCCGCCGCGCTCGAGTCCCAGTGGAGGAGGGCTGTGTCGCCTGTGCTGACATTTTGGTTAGGTGATTGGTTTCTGGTTGTTACTGTGGAAAGGCGGGGTAGAAGGACGTACGCACGCCTAATAGGTAGTCTACAAACATTATGTAGGATAGCCAGATCACGTGTCAAGCCTCACGTAGCTCAAGTTACCTCTCGAACATGAATGTTTGCAAGTGTATTCCAAGTCCTTTGCTACTGTCTTTCTCACTAACCAAAGCTGCACCTCCCTCTGCTGCACTGCAAGCTTAATGGAAATCCCTCCTAGTAAATGTAAAGGAAACCTTTCTTCTCATAATCTGTCAGATCTCCAAGCTGATCCTCAACTCGGACAGAAACATCTGTACCTTCGGCCTTATCCCGCTTCCTGTTCTCGACTATGCAGCCGCCAGCGTATGCTAGAAGGGCGCAGATAGCTGTGGCCTCAAATCCGAGATTATAGTTATATCCGGTTGAATAGTGAGGAGCTTCAGCCGCCCGAAAGACCTGCGGACCGATGATGTTGGCGATGCAGTAAGCCAGGAATATAGTTGCATTAACAGTGAGCTTCTTGGTGTGTCCAGAAACATTGCCCATGGCCAGGGTAAGGGCTAAATTATGTTAGGATTTAGTATAACAAGATTTCAGCCGGATCAACTTGCCAGTAGCATAGGGACCCCAGAAAAAGTAAAAGAAGTAGTACGCCATGAGTCGTCCAACCTTGTTCTCATCGGGGAGTTCTTGGACCTGCTAGTAAAGGTACATTCCACTGGCCGAGGAGTCTTACCCCTGATGATGCGGGAGCAAACCAGCGGCACCAAACAGCATGCAGCTGCTGTGTAGCACCTTTTGTTGTGCAGCCACTGCTGGGGGATTGCGACCATAAAACCTGCTAGACTCTGCATCATTTCGGTTGGCATCCCGAGAAGTGTTGTCTCCGGCCTTCCATACCCCAGACCCAAGACGATCTGCGCCCCAAAAGTAATCAAGCCACCAGTGGGGACATTCATGGAGAGAAAGAAGATGAATAAGAGATATGTCTTGTAATCGGTGAAGACCTCACAGACTTGATACCACTTGAACTCCTGCACGTGTTTCGTGAGCAAAGCTTTTGGTAGATAAGGAAAAGGCCTTGGATTCCGCTTGTACCTTGTTCTCGATACCGGTCATGTTACCCCGGACTCGATCCAGAGCAATATATTTCTCCCGCCATTTCATGAAGTTGTCCGCGAGAGGTGAGTCTGGAAGCCAGATGGTAAGGATGGCCCCCCAAATAAGTGTGAAGCCGCCAACGACGAGAAACAGACTATGACCCCAAAGGGCTGTTCGAGTGAGCTCAACAACCCTAGCGAAGCAAATTTGGTGAGCTTCAAGGGCATCTTCCTCCGGTATTCCAACTGTAATTGTTCAATGCTTTTTGTATACTTCAACAATTAAGCAGAATCTTATCATTTTCTCACGTGGCTCGTTGCGTTATTTAAGCTTGACGTCACCAGTCACATCTTATGTTATCTTATCTCATCTCCTCTTTGCATCTATTTTTAGCTGCAAGGACAAACAGCTCGAGTTATGCAGATAACGTAATATAAAGTGTTGATATGACTTGTTACAGCTGGGTTGAGTCGTATAGTGTTCACTGAGGAGGAGTTAGAAACTATAGAGGCTATGCTATTACAAGCAACTTTTGTTATTCTGATCTTGGAAAACACAACACCGCCTAGCCTAGAGATATTATGGTGTTACCTAGGTACTAATGAATTCGAGGTTCAAGCTTATGACAGGAAAGGGTGTAATAAGCCATCGCATTGTCATCGTCCCCGTTTGTTTCTTTAAACGCATAGGGTTGAGTATGAGGCTAGATCGAACTTCCTGATGAATTGAAGGTGATGGCAATCAAACAATCCCAATCCACACAATACAGGTCTCAGTAGTTGTTAAAACAGACCAAGGAGAAAGTAACGGTCTCGTTGCTTGTAGAGATCATACCCACCGTGTCTACACCTTCTTTACAAGCTCCAGATACCGAACTGTCAAAGATATCTGTGCACCATCGACACTTGCGTAATAATAGTATCAACAGTCTTTTAAATAATTGCCCCGCTACTACGGAGTACTCTATATAACAAGAACATTCTGAGAGGCTTAGTTTCCGAAGTTATGGAGACCGGAAGGTCCGCGGGAATAAACTCAATTTTGACTTTATGATGCTGGAACCTGTTTAAAAGCCGTTTCACATGCCGAGGTTACCCACAGCCCCGTTGCATCAATAAGGTTTTGAAGATCAGCCTTTTCTGGGAACAGCTCAGGAGTGGTTGTAGGTAAAAGGAAGTTCAACGCGTAAGGATAAACTTTAGGCAGCTGCCAAAGGAAATAACATTAACGGCAGATAAGAAGAAAAGATATTCCGTCTAATAGCTAGCTAAAGCTTATCTGTACATCTCGTAAGTCATCCAATAGCTTAAACAGTACTAAAAAACCGGTAGTTTTCATGATCAGCAATAGTCAAACTGGAGATGTTTTGGTTTTTCCCTAGAGCTGATGCTAAGGCTAGCTAGCTCGCTCGGAACGTTATGAGCCAATGATCGATGAAGCCCCATCTGACATCTTAACGATCTCGGGCCGAGATAACATCATAGTTTCTGAACTAATGCTAAGATCAACTTGTTTCGGCTTTAGGACGACCTTCTAGAACAAGCTTAGAAGACGGTGAAGTGAGATGAAACTCGGGGCCTTGTGTCTGCCATTCCTGTTTCGTTCATGAGAGCAGTGGGGTTCGGCAGGCTTGAACGAAGTGAACCATCTTGGTTCGTGGAGAAATGTCAAGCTTTGCAACGGCCATGTACCCAGACGCCAACGCGCGTTTCGGGTCCTGAGTCAGTATATGCACAGAGCTTGCACATGTTTACCACAGATGCTATAGCCGGAACAAAGATCTGCAATGGGAATAACTCCAGGAAGACAGGTGAACTCAGTCTACATCCTCTGTACACATCGAAAGTCTTGCAGAGATATCTTCAAAATGGGCAGTGCGAGAGTGATGAGACAATATAACATGAGTCTTGTTATTATGTATGCAACTTGAAATGGTTAGATTACCTAGTTGCTATCAAATGCCGTCTAATATGCAAAGATGCCATCATTCAACGAGTTATCGCTTGCTGTACGCGCCCTAAACCCAGCATGTCCTTGGCCCGTCTAAAATCTACCCCGAAACCGTTTTTTGACCATTTTAAAAAATTCTTCTGCTCCATCTAATCTGAGTCTTCCTCCTCAGACATTGGCCTAGGATTGCAGATGATTGTACCAGCCCACCTGATGAGATTGCCCTCCTTTCCGTCTCGCGTATCGATGCTCTCGCAGCCGCCCTGTGCAGCAACGGGTGCTTGTGACAGGACCTTTGCAAAGAAGTTCTTGGCGGCTTCGTTGCCTGCTTCCCATTGGAAAACAACACACTCGTCCATCTTGTCGCCGGGTTCTTTTCCGGGTGCGACGACGGGAACTAGTTGGTGTCGGCGTCTCTCACGGGGCAGATCCCACCATGAATCCATGACCGCCTTCCAGAGTTCAGTCCCGTATCCCTGGCGGCAGAATTCTGGTTTGATGAGGAACTCGGCTTCTGGCCAACCAGAGATCGAGGAGGACATGGCTAGGACGTCTGGCAGGCCACCCTCGCCTATGAGCTCATTGGTCGATTTAAGAAAGGCGCCAAACCACCAGTGGCTTTGGTCATCCTGAACCAGAGAATGGAGTTGTCTTTCTGTCTCGTCCTTGTCTTTGGTTGCTCGGCCGCGAGCTGTTGAGTGGTTCTGAATGTCAGGGCGTTTGCGAAGCTCATGGAATGCATCGAGGTCTTTCATTGAGAGAGGTCGGATAATAAGACGCTCAGTCTCCAGTGGGGGCCGGTCCGAAGCGCTGGGAATGGGTCGCTCCGGCAGTGTGACCGAGTAGCTGAACCATGGCGTCATGCCAAGATTCTGAAAATCCTCAGCATTGAAAAAGACCTCGAGAGGGGGGAGAGCGTGATGAAGAGGTGCCATCGTTTCCATAATGAAGCTGTGATCAAAAAGTTGTAGACACTAGCAGTAGTAGACGTGAACGGGTATTTGGATGAATTCTGGAAATTAGAGTAGAAATGAAACTAGTCTAGCAGGAGGGAATAAATAAGTACCGAGGCCTGTCTCTTTAAAAGGATTGTCTCGTATGATGTCGATTTGGTTAGCGACGTTACATAGGAACACGGCAGAAATGAGCGGTGAGTTTTTCTCGCATTTCAGACAGGCCCAAGGAACACGAAAAAAGCCGTTGGACTGAAGAGGAAACCCCAGGGATTGGGGATTTCACATGCAGGGATTGCGCGTCGGTTAAGCAAACATGTTCCTGTAGCTAGGGTCTTCTCCTCAAAGTGGGTTGCACCTCGCAAATAACAAAATACAACATGACTCCACTAGGATTTGCGGTATTTGGTTCGTGTTTTTCTTTGCACAGTGAGACATGCCAGAAGTAACAGAGTTACCTCCTGAAACTGGAGACAGAGAAAGACTGCCGAGACTACGGTTTGTTTGGGTTTGGGCCGTCCTGTATGCAAGGCGAGAAAACAACGCTAGCGTAGCACTCGGGCCCCTGACACGTACTGTACATACTGGCGTGTTTGACAGGACATGGTTCATTACCACGTATTTCTGGTGGACAGCGTTGCAGCTGTTGGTTGTAATGGCGTTGGGCCATGCATATCTTTACTGCAAACTGCTTAAACAAAGACCGGAATACAGTGCCGTTCGCCATTGCTCCGTGGGTGTTGAGTTTGGATACTGAAGCGTCGATCACGATGGTCTGATAGGCGCCGTGTCTCACTTTGACTCAATAGAGGTGATGTCCATTGGCCGCATGAATCAGCTGATGTCAAAGCACTGCGATCCGAGATGTTGAATCGCCTCATTGACGAACGAACAATGATACCCTACAGACCCTGCCCGTATTGCAAAATGAACAGTCTTTTCCCCTTCTCCGAGAAGACAACATGTTATAGATCACATCAGAGGGTATGAGAGATCCACAAGACAGAATGATCGTCGAGGTATTCCCTGCGCGTTTCGCTCGGGAAAATTGCATCCGTTGAGATGCATTTTCGTAAAGAAGGGTATGCGAGATGACAGCTCGCAACAATGTACATGACCCAGTAAGCCAAATAACAATAGCTCCATGTCCCCGATATCATGGAAATAACACAAAATACCAAATACCCAAGCTTTCGGTAGACGTAGGGCTGATATACATCCCATTCCACCCAATATCAACGTCGATTTCGTATCGACTCTACCCGAGCAATAGCCTTAAAAACCGTTCGGATCCGCAAAACCCTCTCCGCACACTGTCACAGTACAGTGCGGCCCCTGTCACCTCATCCCGCGCCGGCGCGCACCATTTAGGGGGAACAGGCTAGGTAACACCCGCCCCTAGAAGATTCCAGTAAAAATCATAAAATAACACGCGCATGACTGTGCCGCTCGCCCCGTGACAAGCCCGGCCCTCTTCCCAATATCACGGTACCGGTAAGCTAAGCCTCTAGGGTTCCTGTCAACTGCAACGTCGTAAGTAATAACACTTGAAACACGAGTGGGGTCCTGTTATACCGAGGAGATATTGCTCAAGATTGTATCCCTCACGTGTATTTGGCCGTATAGTCTCATCACACCGCAATCTACGAGTGAGAGACAACTATTCCCTATGTAACTCTGTCATGTATTATGGTAACGTCTCATTATAACATATCCACTATATATCCCAGAACCAACAACCCTCGAACCAACAACATCAAGCAAATGGCAGCTCCTGTCGATTAGACGAAGAATCACACCCCGCGAACCGCCACCAGTCCTGATGCGTACGAACAAACAACCACCGAATAGCGACAAGTGCAATCCAAGGAAGAGGAGGGAAATCCGCCCAGATACCACCTTCAAAGTCCTTATCGTGAAGAATCAAGGCCAGCGGCAAAATCTCGTTACGATGAGACGCTTTCTTCATGGCGTTAGATCCTATCTCGGCCCCTGTCTTCTCGAACCACGCTCCCCAGTCGCACTTGTCGGCGTACTTTTCGAGTCCGACAAGGGTGTCGATTTCGTTGTGCAGATGTGTTGTGAGGGAGGGCATGAATGAGTCGATGATTTCTCTGAGCTTGGAGCCGTCGAGTTCTTCCTCTTCTTTGCGGATTTTTTCGATGTAGGTTGTGAAGCGATCTAGGCCCTCGTGGAATAATCGGTGCTCGTCGATGTTGGCGTCCATGAGGCCTGGTACGCCGGTGATTCTGTTGATTTCTGGGAAGATCTTTTCTTCTTCGATGTCGTGATGTTCTTGAATTTCTTGGCTCCATGCCCAGGCGAAGCTTGCAAAGTCCACCTTGTCTTTTTGCGTTCCCCTTTCGGCGACGTTTATCGCTTGGAGGTAGATGGCGTTGACGCCGCGCAAGAATAGGTTATGGACGACAGCCATGCCTGCAGCGCATTTTCGAGCACCTTCAGCGCGCTTTTCAAGCTATTTGTGAGTCCGATCATTAGTAACCGTATCGTTATGGCTTGAGTGGCTTTTTCCAGGATTCATACCGAGTCACCTGCTCTTGACGCGCCGATGAGCTCAAAGGGGCCGTCAACCCATGGCTTCTTGGGTTCTTCCATCATAATATGTCACAGCAGATTGCATGAAACAATGAGCCGGACATTGCGAAAAGGGACAGCGCATTACTTATATGCTCAGTACAAGAGGTGCAGCAATATATTAGTGCTGACGTTGGATGTCTGGAGAGTAATCCGTAGGTCCGTAGGGCGGCCAATCATGAAGTTGACATCGTATCTGAGGTGCATCTCTTTAATCCCGAGTTTCATTTCCTTCAAATTGCTTAAGTGATATCAAGAAGAATATTCGGTCGCGTTTTATACTGTTTCTCTTCATGGTGACTTTGATGCTGCAGTATCTCTAAGGGCCACATATTAGCAGCGCTAGACGACTGAGCAGGATGATCTCACGATAGCCGCAAGGTCCAAGCTTGCTGACTCAGATCTAATGGGGAGCTGCTTATAGGCTATTGTTTTATCTTGATGCTTATCGAACCAATGTCATCCTTCCAAGTGGAATCTTGGGGATCCTTGCTTAGTCGATGCTCAGGCCAGACCTGTTTCAAAGCTCCCAATCATTGGGTCAAAGATCATCGCCAGGAAGCGACAATGAGCGGGATTCTCAATGTCCCCGATATCCGATAAGTTTAGCTAGAAGAGAAATGCGATATGCCTAAAGTCCTAAGAATTTTTATGCCGTACAACTGGTTTTATGTGATCGATAGCTGGAGAATTGAAGCGCTGGGTGATCCAGAAAGCTCATTCCTTGAGGTCAGCCGAGACGTGATAATTATGCATAGGGTAAGTTGGTTGCTTAAACCAGACTTACTATGGTTTACTCAAGAAAGCCTCCGTTGTATTCCGAGCCTGATTGCAAAAAAGATCGGTTGAAGCTTATTTTTAGAACGCTCTTTTATCAAGCTGTCAGAATTGCGGTTCAAGTCCGTGTTTCTCAGATATCTCAGAGACCTGTTATGGTGCAGCTCCGCCAAAGTCACGTCGGGAGCATGAGCTTGGACAAGTAAATGGATCAGTCTAAAAATAGGTTCGGTACGAAATCTCCTCACGTGTCAATGCCATTGCCTCGGCTTCTTTAGGTCCCTCGACCTTATCAGATAACCATCATCAGATCAGCATATTGCGCTGAGCTCATAAGTACGGAGTCCTCGCCAAGTCAAGACAGCAGCACTACCGAGAGTCGACTCTTGGAATTTGCCTGATTCTGCCAAGGCCAACTCAGCTTGACAAGTTCTCTAGTGGCGCGCGCCGTTGAATGTCACAAGCAATAGCGACAGCTTTGACCCGGCGCTAACATTTTTGCGCTATTTGGATGGGGCTTGTCATAGCCAATGGTGCGTATTCCGTCCCCACCGCACAGACATTTAGGCGAACTTTCCGTTGTCTTGGCAAGACGCCAAATTTGTTGTCTCTACGCGCCAAGATAGAGGTATCGTGATAGCGTGACCTGCGGAATTGTGCGCTATTGTCTTGAGCATCTGATGTGTCGCTTCTGGTTGTTGTCTCTGGCACGGTCAGACAGCCACAACTGTTGGCTGGGCTTGGGTGCAGAGTAAAGAACAGATCACGCCATGGTTCTGATGGAGAGAAAGGTAGCATCAGGAGTAAGAGGATAGCGTTAGGTTCGTTACTACATGAAATGATCACTAATTACATTATCATACCCTCCAATCATGACCAGTATCGTGTATACCATGAGCCAGTCTCCAGTAGGACACATTCTTGAGGACAATCCCCTTAGATGCTGGTGCCAGAAGCACCATCCGTAGCCAACTGATGCTTGCGCGCGTTATCCTCCATGCGAGCAATTCGTGAGTTTCTCTTCGCCTGCTGACTGCGACGCAAGAAGAACAGAATCGCACCAGCAATCAAGACAACACCAGCAATAGAACCAATAACAATACCAGCAATAGCTCCGCCACTCAACTTGTTAGACTTGCCTGACTTGCTCTCCGCTTCAGAAGCATCAGAGCTTTCAGAAGATGTAGACGGGTGAGTAGCAGTTGGGCTGGGTCCAACGGTAGCACCAGCTGCCTTGTCATCGTCGCCGGGCTCTGTGGCGTTGAAGCAGGGGATTTCGAAGTTCAACTCGGACTCCTTGACAAAAGTGATGTCGGCGCAGGCATAGAAGGTTTGGTTATGGGGTGCGTCCCAGTCGGCGCGGTAGATGATCTGGAGAGTGGCGTTGTCGCCGGCTGAGACCTTGGAAGGGGCGTCGGGAACTTGGACGCAGGTGTGACCTGGGTTGAGATCTGTGATGCTCTTTTCCTGGATCAAGGTCTCGAAGTCATCATTGGACGTAGGATCTACAGAGATGGTAAGTCAATTAGTATGGTTAACAGGAGGTTGAGTGATTAAGTTGCTTACCTTCTGAGTACGAGATGCTGATCTTGGTGTTGTAATAGTCATCCTGAGCAACGAGAGAGACAGCACCACCAGCTAAACGACAAACGTTAGCAAAATGTCACATGAACGGGTCAAGGAGCTGACGTACTCAAGGGAAAGTTGGTCCTGTTCCCAGAAGATGCTCGTGAACCGCAAGGACCTTTGTTGTCAACGTCCCCAGCCCAAGGACGGTCCGGGGGCCACATGAAACCGGCAGGTCCCATCTCGTCATCCTTGACAGTCGCATTCGTAGGAATGTCATCTTGCCCAAAGGCAAAAGATGCCAGCGTCAGAACAAGCAGATTCTTCAACATGATGATTGGGACGACAGAGTGACGAGAATAACACGAGATAAGCCAGAGACTTGCAGAAGACCGTGGTTACTGCTCTCTTCCAAACGATGAGGGGAAACCATGCTCGTGATATACACCATTTCACGGATACACCACCATTAGCTGGTACATGTGACACTGCGGGACTTTTGAACCGCCAAGTAACACACTGAACCCCTTGAGGCAAGAGAAATGCACTACAACCTGGCCGTTGGCATCTGATTGACCCATCCGGCAATCGTGTGCCACCTAAATCCGGTGAACCTCAACCTCCCCCTGCTTATCAGATGATCAGATAAGATTTTGATGCATCCCGACGCTCTCATTGGTGCGACGCGCTAACCGAGGACCGCAACTAGATCACTTTTGGTCTAACGGCGAGGATTAAAGTTGGTGCGATATCGGATATACAGGTCTAGAGTATGCACTTTATCTTGGCATCAGGTCATGGAATTGTTGTTTGTCCAATCAGTGAGGTTGAGGGTGTAGCCAGGAGCTCGGTGTTCTCGGGATGCGGCGGATAATTGACCGGAATGCAATTTCCTGTTTTGCGCTGGACATGGGAAGAACCTGTGATCTAAACCTGACTGAGGGAAATGGGCTTGTGCTATGAGGATTGTGCAGATATATAGCCTTGGTCCTCCTTCCATCCGTCTCTTCTCATCAACTCACAGCTTCATCCTTCAAGTCATTCAATCGTTAGACTTCACTCGTTCAAAATGCATTCTCTCGCTGCATACACTCTTTTGGCTTCTGCCTCTCTTGCTGTCGCCATCGATCCCCGCTTTGAGTTCCCCGATACTGTCCCTCTCGTCAAGCGTCAGCAGCCTGGTACCCCTCAGTACGCCTGCCACGAAGACTGCGGTAAGTAACAAGCTCTACCACCACCACGACTTTCTTTCTAACAAACTTTAGGTCTCTTGATCACTCTTGCTCGTGATGACGAGGACTTCTGCGACAGCGATGAGTGGAACGAACGCTACGGACGCTGCATGTCGTGCGCCAACACCTACGATATCTGGAAGTACTATGGCAGCGGCGTAGGCAGAGTCGCTCAGCAGTGTGGTCTTACTCCTAAGCCCAGTCCCTCTGGTTCCTCTGGTGCTGCCTCTACTACCGCTGAGGAGAAGCCTTCTTCCACTGCTGCTGAGGCTAAGCCCTCGACTACTGCTGTTGAGAAGCCTGCTACCACTGAGGTTGAGGAGGCTGAGACTACCAAGGCTGAGGAGCAGGCTACTGCTACTGAAGAAGCTGAGGAGGAGACCACTTCTGAGCATGAGCATGAGGAGACTGAGCATGCTCACACTTCTACTGAGGCTGAGCACTCTGAGGCTCATGAGCATACTACTCTTGCTACTCACGCTGCTGAGACAACTCATGCTGCCAACCCCACCAAGACTCATGAGGCTGGTCACACTTCTGCTGATGAGATTGGAACTGTTGGTGTTACTGTAAGACACTGCTCGCCTTCGATAACACCCATGACTAACAATGTTGCCTGTAGGCTACCTCGACTCCTCTCCCATCAAGTGTCATCGTCAACGGCGCCGCCAAGCAGGTTGGTTTCTCCACTGCTATGGTCGTCGTCGCCTTGGCCATGTGCGGTCTCTATTAGGCAATTAGTTCCTAAAAGTGTTTGGGGAGTTATTCTCTGTCAGGTGGAAATGAGTGCATGAGTAATGGGCTTATGCTGTAAGAGGATTTAGAGTGTTTTCACTTCTATATATAATTTTAATTGATCATTTAATACTTGACAATCCAAGAGTTCTCAACATTCTTCACAGCGATGCTTATACATCCCCCTGCCTAAACCGAGCAACCCAATCTGGAAATTGAAGACCCGACAGCTGTACCTCAATTCGTGTTGTATTAATGGTGATCGAGTCATAGAATTACACGTTTGGTAAGCTCCACAAGAAATCCCATGACCTATCTTCTGGCTCGGCCATGTCGGGGTCATCAGTGGCGAAGCCGAATGGAGCCATGCTAGGATCAAATGGCAGTGCAAGCCAGTCATCCACAGCCGGCATCGACAGATCTCCTAGGGAATCATCTACTGGCGGTACGCTGTTGTCGAATATCCATTGGGAGGTTTGGTCCACTGTACGAATCCCCTGAGGAATCGTAGTTGGGACCATGCTTTGCCTATACCTCTCTAGATGCATGTCCAGCAACTCTCCATACCGAGAAGCTAGATGCATCTCGTCGAGACTACTATTCCTAAGAGCTCGAATACTTCTTTCCAATATTCCAAGAGACGTCTCTAGATCTGTTGTTCGAATTCCAAGACTCAGAGCTTTTAGAAGGAAGATGGAAGCCATGATGATGCGAAGGAATACTCGAACGGGACAGTACCGGAGCGTACCAGCCTCGAATAGCCTGTTTACTGACTCGAGAGCCTGGCATGATGAATTAATGACTTCTTTGATGAAACAATAATCTGTTGCCGTGATGGATGACTGGAGAACATCGGTATCGATCGAGTTTGGCGGTCTTCTACCAAGGACTCGATCAACGGCGGCTTGGATGCCAAACGAATTCATGAAAGCACGGAGATAATTAAACTCAATTGTCAAGTCCTCGCATGCATGAGATGATAAATCTAAAGCGACAAACGGTTAGTATAGGATAATCTGGGAAAGAAGAAGGCGTGTGCTCACTCTCGTGACTGAGATGGGTTGTCTTCCAACCCGCGAGCTGTTTCTGAAAGTGTTTGATGATGTTTATGTATCTGCAGCTACTAAGAATTTCTCGAATCCCTGCAGCCGATGGACATAGAACATCGATGATGGTTCGTGTAAGATTAGTCAGGTCGAGCCATGCTGTCAATGTGGATGAATCGCCCTGCCCGTCTCTTGTCAAAGGCTCTGACATGAAGCGCGAGACAGACGTCGGCATCATAGAAGGACACCCTAGTCGACTGGATTGCTGCTCCAGAAATATATATAGAAGATCACGTAACCTCGTCTGCTCAGCTTTGAATCCTGGTGGCTGTGTAGACGTGTCAACTCTTTCGCCATCATCGCAGAGTCCGAGTTCAAGGGCCAAAGACTGCACACAGCCCAGCAGCATCCAAGACATACGATCAGACGTCTTGGCGGGGAGGATAACATCTCTTAACCACTGGGCTTCATTGTCATTAGTGTCGTCTGCTTGATTATCGAACTGATCATCCCGAGGATCTAAGTCGGTGAGCAAAGTAGACGAGTCCCAGCCATCTGAAGCCGGCGGCAGGTGTATCGCCTGTGGGTGCCACTCTATGATCAGCAGAAGGGCTTCGATAGAGCCCCTCGTTCTTGTCTTTGCCTTGGATCGCTTTTCTTGGCCAAAGATGATTCTCATGACGAGATGCTGACAGTGCTCCCATAATCGATGATGAATAATGGTACTTCTGGCCAGACCACCGTGACCGACTAAGACGTGGTACCGCGATGATATCATCAAGATTACACAGCAGAGTAGAGGCTCTTGTGTGATGAGCCTGTAGTGTCTTTCATGGCTCAGGTCAAAGCCTCTCGATACAGGGGATAGCGGTGCTAGATTCTGCTGGAACCTGCCAATGAGTCATTAATCATCATGCCTTTCGCTCCATCTTGAACGACGATACTTACAAGTCGATATATCTGACTGCCTCTTCAGCGGTGAACCAACCCATTCTGACAAAGCGGAAGGACCGCCATACCGTGAAGGGATTGGGAGTAGTAGGAGAGACATAGGTAGGCCTGGATGTACTGATGGAGGCGGTTGTCCTAGGACTCGATGTCTCTCCGATACGATGCAGTGTATGTCGTGATATGGGCCCTTGATTGCTAGGTGAAGCACCCTCCTTGTTGGCGTTTTCGATCGCAGGTTGGTACAAAAGCCGCAGTGCGTCATTCCCGTTCGAAACAAGTGTAGTAGTGAGGTCACCGGCAGGTCCTGTGGAGCTCATAGACGGTGAAGTTTCGTTCATAACACTTTGTTGCTGATGTCGAGGCAGATCATGGGCCAGTCCTGGCAGTTCATTGCTGCCCGATAAAGAAATGTCTGGCAATGTCAGATCATTACTGTCGTCGAGCACCTGTGATGGTTCTTGAGTAAATGTGTCTTCGCTCAGATTGGCTGGAGCCTGCGAGGTGCTCACCATGGTAGTACCATGTTCTGAGCCCAGAGCTGGTTGGAGATAAAACCACGTCAGCAAAATGGGTTGCAGAGTGTGATGGGATCTGAGGCCCAGCAGAGATACACACCTTCTTTCGATGATGCTCTTCTGCCAAGAGTCTTGTTCCGCTTCCGATGAGAGCGTTCATCGCTAAATACGCATTCTTTGACTTCTCTTTGACACCTCAAGCATGGCACGCCAGGTTGGTCAACGATACAGCGAATCTTCTTTTTCCGACATAACTCGCAAGCCTGGTAGCCCCGGCGGAAATCACGCACACGTCGTCTACGAGAGGGGCCGTCACTATCAGGCAAAGTGGGTTGGGTTTGTGCGTCAGCATCCATTGGTGCCTTTCTGGTCGAGGGGAGTCGTTCGGTGGTCAATTGTCTGGGAATCTTGAAAATCGGAAAGTGGCGGATGGTGACGGATATAAGTACCTCTCCGACGAACGTCCGCTGATCACCAGGTGACGGCATAACTAGCATCGAATGGGACTAATTCAGCGGGCTAGCTTGGCATCGTGCGGGGAATTGACGGGCTCGGTCCCGGATCGCTTTGGGGCAACTTGAGAAATCTGGCTCGGGAATGGCTTCCGAATGAAAAACACAGATAATAAAGATTGAATGCGTGTTGATTCTCTGTAAATTGAGCGTACATGATGTATCCAACGACAAAAAAGGCCAAGGATATGATTGTAATGCTGCAAAGATCGAATCCTGTACTATTGAATTGAATAACTAACAAACTATGTAATGGATCGCACTCAAGCAAGCCAACCTTTTGGAAGAATCTTCCGCCATTCCGACAAATCAGAACAACCCCCTATGCTATGTGAGGTAGCGAAAGTTCTTGTTCTTATCACCAAGCTCCGTGACATCCACAGCCATATCGGAATCGACGGGGCCATATTTACGGTCTCTTCTCTTGTTCTCACGTTCCAAAGCAAAGTGCAGGCCTAGTGCAAGAATAGAAATGAGTCCGGTTAGTCCACAGCCAATGGCGGTACCCCGAAGGTAAAGAGGTCTGGTCAAGCATAGTGTTAGTATACGAACGCCCAAGTATGAGGTTTTGAAAGAAGATACTGGAGCAAAAGAGACACTTACCCGTCAGAACTGGGGAAGACAACACTGCTAACAAAGGAGGAGCATTGACCAAAGGTAGCTAGAATCGCTAGTCCAGCACCCTTCTTAGAGTCTCCTCCTTGATTATTCAGCAGCCAGGTGATGTTGATGCAAAGCGCAGGGAAGACGCCACAGGATGCTAGAAAGATGGCGGCATAACGGGTTGCCCTCTTGGACTCATCCTGAACAACGACCAGCATAAGGTAGCCAATAAAGCCAATGAGCGCGCTACCGCTGACAACATATCCTCTCTTACCATACCTGTCACTCACCAAAGCTGCCAGCACGCAGCAAAGGAAGGCTAGAAAGTATGGCGGTGCAGTAAGGCCCTGTGCAGTAACGGATGAGTAACCCATGTCGCGGACAATTGTCGGGAGGAAGTTGGAAAGGCCTGCGAAAGAGTAGTTGCAGCAGAAATGAATGACAGTATGGATGTAGTTCTGGTAGTCTGCCAGGCCAGCAAATATTTGGTTCCAGCGAACTCCACTCTTCTTGGTGCGATCGCGGACCTGGAGCCGCTCAACAGCATAGGTGGCATCTTTCTCAGATAGGTATTTGGCCTTGTCTGGGGAATCTGCTAAGAAGAACCAAGCGACGAGGGAGAAAGCTACAGTGGGGGCACCCTCTATAGAAACAGACTAGTCAGAAAGCTGTGACCCAGACAGCTGAGCAGACATTTCAACGTACCGATGATGAAGAGGTATCTCCAAGGCTCCAATGAGCCACTGATATGGGTGATTCCGTATGCCAACGCAGAAGCGAAGCAATTGGCTAATGGCGACATTCCAAGTAGGAGAGAAACACGAAAGCCCAGCTCATCACGACGGTAGAACAAAGACAGGAAATACGGTGCACCAGCACCAAACGCAGCCTCGAATACACCAAGCAGCGCTCGGGTAGCAATAAGTCCGCCGAGATTCTGCGCGGCACCAGCGCACATGGCTGCCGTTCCCCAGCTACAAGAAACACACCGTCAGTGCCCATGCAATACGAGATAGAGGCTTGCTTACCAAACGCAAAGCGCGGCGACGTATTTGCTCGCAGGGAGGATCTTCCAGAATAGGCTGGTCCACTCGAAGCAAACGTAGCAGATGTAGAACGCGTTGAGGACCCAGGCCCATTCAGAGTCGCTGAGGCCTAGGTCATCCTTTGCACCAGCGGTTTTGGCGTTGCCGATATTTCCTCGGTCGAGATAGGATAGAATGTATAGGCAGCAAACGATGGGAAGAAGACGGCGGTCAAACTAGGTGACTATTAGTAGAATTACTATATGTAGCACCGGTAGTAGCTTACTGTATTCTTGATACGCTTGTTGGCCTCTTCGGGAACGTCAACGCGTTGCTGGTCTTGGTG